GAAGTCACACAGCCAAATGAACAGTCCTTCCTATTTATATCACCAGAGTGTAAACCCTTCATCCAACGGTGGGAATTAAGCCAGGTGTCATCATCGGGCAGAATGCCAATTATAAAGGCGTGTTTTCAAAACACGTTTTGTTAGCTGAAAATATGGGAGCACAAATAACCGGGTTCGAGTCTCAACAATCTCCACCTTGCTACCATATTTTCTGCTTTAGTGCAGCCAGGAGACAATATCACTTTCTCCTTTCATTTGCTCCAAGTACCTGCAGTTTTATCACATAGTATCAATAGATAATGACTTTAAACAGTTTTTAAATTTGTTCAAAGGTATTATCTTTGTTCCTATATCAGATGGGTTATATTGAGTAGGTACTTTACCAATTTTCAAAACACATTTTGAAATAATGTCTCTAATAAAGTGATACTTAATGTCTATATGTTTAGTCCTATCATGATACATGAGATTTTTACTAAGGTGTATGGCACTTTGATTATCAGAATATAATGTTGCATTTTCATCAACAATTCCAAGTTCCATAAGTAATCCACTTAACTATATTCCTTCTTTAAAAGTATCAAAGGCAGCAATGTATTCTGCTTCAGTTGAAGATAAAGCTACAATCTTTTGTAATTGTGATTTCCAACTAATTAGATGAAGTTGATTTCCTATTGTCCCTATTTTCAGCAAAGTCGGAATCAGTAAATCCCTTTAAGGTTACTCCTTCTTTGTCATTTAAACACAAGATCCAAGTTTACAGTACCCTTTAAGTATCTTCAGAGCCATTTTAAAGCATTCCAGTGTTCTTCCCCAAGGTTACTCATAAACCTACTTAATATGCTAATGCTGAAAGCAAGATCAGGTATAGTACATACCATTAAGTACATCACAAAACCAATAACATTTACATAAGGTATTTTTGACATTTTATCAGATTTTTCAAAAGTTTTGGAACAGAGATCATAGGTTAGTTTAAAATGATTTGCAAGAGGCAGAGACACAGATTTACTGTCAAACATGTTAATTTTTTTTAGAATCTTTATCACATAATCATGTTGATTCAGAAATAACATATTTTTATCTTTATCTTTATAAATTTGCATACCAAGAATTTTTTTAGCATTTCCAAGATCTTTCATGTCAAATTTAGAGTTAAGTTGTTGCTTAATATATTCAATTTCAGATTTATCATAACTTGCAAGCAACATATCATCCACATAAAGTACAAGATAAAGAGAATGTTTACCTCCTTTACCTCTACAATACAAACATGTATCATAATTGCTCTTTTGAAAACCAAGTTTCAATACAAAAGAATCAAATCTTTTGTACCACTGCATAAGAGCCTGTTTCAGGTCATACAAGGACTTCTTAGCAGGCATACAACATTTTCTGAATTTCCCTTCACAAACCCAACTGGTTGTTTCATATAAATTGTTTCATCCAGATCTCCATAAAGAAAAGCAGTCTTAACATCCAACTGGTCAAGTTCCCATCCAAATTGAGCAACTAAGGCAAGTAAACATCTAATTATTGTATATTTAGCTACAGGAGAAAAAATTTCAGTGTAATCAACTCCTTCGTTTTGTGTAAATCCCTTTACAACTAACCTAGCCTTATACCTAAGACTATTATTTCCCCCTTCACCTTCTTTTATTTTATAAATCGATTTACAGTCTATAAGCTTTTGACCTCTTGGCTTCTCAACTAATTTCCAGGTTTTATTTTTAAGAAGTGAACTCGTTTCATCTTCCATAGCTGTTATCCACTTCTTAGAGTCTTTGCAGTTTATGGCATCTTCATAAGTGTTAGGCTCATTTTCAATTTGTTCCTAATAGGTAAATAATGAAACAAAATCATTTGAATCATATCTTGCAGGTGTTCTAGTCTGCCGTCTTTCCCTATCTCTAGTTAATTGATATTCTTCAATGGGATAGGTTGGATTTTCAGTCTGGTCATTGGTGTTACTATGTAGATTATTTTCAGTTTTATTTTCAGATTCATTTTCTGCATTAATCATTTCTGGTTCAACAGGTACATTTGTTTTTCTTTCAACCTTTGAAGGCTCCACCTCAATTTGTACATCATCAGAAGTCAAACTGTGTTTTCCTTCTAGGCATAGCATAAGGGATTCATTAAAGACAACATCTCTCCTAACAATCACCCTATAACCTTTCTCACTTTTAAGCCACAGTCTACACCCCTTCACATTTTCACCATAACCCAAGAAAACACATTTAAGTGATCTTGGTTCTAGTTTTCCAATATTTTGGTGTGCACGTTTTTAAATGTGAATAATCAACAGAATTTTTAGTCCATACTAATTCAGGTACTTCAAAATTTAGGGCAGAAGTGGGTGTTATATTAACTAAATATGCAGCTGTTTTTACAGCTTCACCCCAAAATATTTTTGGCAAACCAGAATTTAAAAGCATACATCTAACTTTATTTAGTAAGGTTCTGTTCATTCTTTCAGCTATGCCATTTTGTTGAGGTGTATAGGTAACAGTGAGATATCTTAATATACCTTGTTCTTTACAGAAATTATTGAACTCATGATTACAAAACTCCAGACACAATTTGAGGCCAAAAAACCCACACGTTAATTGCAAGATACAATCGAGCTCAAAACAGAAATTAAAACTTACAGAAAATAAATAACACAACAAGATTTTTCGGTCGAAACCCCAGAGGTTCAGTGACAAGTACCTAATCCCATGTTGAGCATCCAATCGAAGTTGATATTGCTCGGTTGCACTAAAGCCCCAAAAATAGGCAATCGAAGGTTACAAAGTTCAATCACTATAAGAATGCACAAAAAAGAGACTTATCTCTTCAAAAAGTGAACCACAGATCTGTCTCAGACTCGCACAGAATCAACAGACCACATTCCTAATCTCAACTCATGAGAACTCTAAGTTTCACTCAAGAAATATCAATATATAGTGATTAATAACCTTCCAAAATATCTAATGAGATGATCGATTACAGAAAATAGGGAAGACTGAAAACCCTAACTCGAGAGAGACGAAGACCTCTCTCGAACCTCACTCAAGAGTCACGAAAAATGAAAAGTCACACAGCCAAAAGAACAATCCTTCCTATTTATATCACCAGAGCGTAAACCCTTCATCCAACGATGGGAATTAAGCCAGGTGTCATCATCAGACAGAATGTCAATTATAAAGGCGTGTTTTCAAAACACGTTTTGTTAGCTAAAAATATGAGAGCACAAATAACCGGGTTCGAGTCTCAACACTGAGTGCATTAGATTTTTGCCATATTATATATTCAAATGAGAAAATCAACAAGGGATGCCACTGTTTGCATATTAGGATTGAATTAGGGTTCTAACTATTGGATCTTGGGGTTCCAATTTAGGCTTAGATTGAGATAGATTTCTCAAAATCATACATTCTCCAAAAAGGAAAAACTCTCCAAACAAAAGTTTAAAAGACAACCTTGTAAAGAGAAGTAGTCCAAACCTTTATATATTGTATATTTATTTCATTTTTATTTGAATGTAACTTTAATATCTTGTAGTTTGCCAAATATCAATGGCTTTCATGTTCTTTTTCCCTCTCAATGTTTAAAACAGTGCAGGAGTGCATATGAATTTTACAGCATACTAATGAATCGTGCATCTATCACATAGCATCGGAATCTAGACATACCACTTTATTTGAAAGTTTGAAGTGTTGCAAAGACGTCAAAACACCCGCCCTTTCACATCAAGGTCAAATTTACATATGCTATACGAATAGGTTGACCAGATATTCACATTCTTAATTTATATCATGAGCAATTACACTATCTACTTCCACGTACAAAAATTTTTAAATAGGCGCTAACAATATTGGATTGGAAAGTACTCTAAAATTATGTTGACTCGTTTTATTTACAAGTTAAATTGTGAAAGAGAAATCAAATTAATTTGAACGTAATCTTTATTTGATATCATTACCCTAATTATAGTACAAAAAGATAAATATTGAGAGACGATCTTGTGAAGAAGTGTTCTAGGATGAAGAATAAAAGTATGTGACTTGGTTCTTCTACTCAATCTATTGATTCTGTTGTATGAAAGATATACATAACTGAATAAACAGGATATTAAATTAATAACCAAAAGACGACAATAGTGAAGCACCAGTGGTCTAGTGGTAGAATAGTACCCTGCCACGGTACATACCCGGGTTCGATTCCCGGTGGTGCATATCTTTTTTAATTTCCTAATTTTCTGTATTGGCCTGACGATCAACAAATTTCACATACAAATATCAGTGCATATGACAAAAGATGACTTGATTCATGAACTTTCATTTAAAGACATCCCACAGAGTCACAGACTAGTCTAAATCGGGTCAAGTTATACTTGTTCAAATTGATTATATAATAACATTATACTCTTTGAATTATCATATTATAATATTATATTCTTTGTGCAACTCTTCATAGTCATAATGAAAAAGTAATGTATTCTCTTTTGAGTAATTATTATATTTACACTATTTTTTGTAAACCATCATACGCCCCTGTTTTGATAGTCATTATAAAGAGAAATTGGAAAAAAAAAATAATGTTTTGAATAGTGATTTTTAAAAAAAATATATATGATTAAAAAGTAGGAAAAATCTTTAATTTACGTGCAAAATATTCATTGTTTTAATACGTGAGTAAAAATAAGTATGAGAAATAAAAAATTTTGACATAAAGAGTCAACACAGGGAATATACTTTTTTTGAACATGATCCTTAATTTTTGATCATTTCTATATTTATATCTTGAATTTTTTTGCATCATGTTTTTATCCTTAACCTTCAATAATTAGCACATTTTGCCCTAATGATGATTTTTATCCAGATATTCTGTTAATGTAGCAACGAATATTTTATCAAACTTCTGTATTCCTTGTTTGTTTTGCTTACTTAAAAATATGATAAGCAAATAACTCTTTTTATGCTCGAACAGGTAAAGCCATATCAACCAACATAAAATTGAACAATCACACGTTTTCCAAAAGATATATTAAAATGTCTTTCTGTCCATCGCATACATTCAAGTGCATGTTGCATTCCGAAACATCTCTACAAAAACAAGATTGCTATGGCATCTCACAGCCGTGTAACGACATTGAGCATCCTCAAGTTCTTTGCCAATTTATGTAATCTCTTACCTAATAAGATAGTTTACGACAAGGAAAATAACCACAAAAGATGCCACGAGAGAAAACATCCTGCGGTTTGATTTGGTTTCGAACACCCGAAGCAAGTAAGAAGTCAAATTATAGGAAAGTAAATATTCAAGTAAAAGAGAGTAGCATAACAGAATAAAGGTCATAAATACCATCTTAAATTTATCCATGGTTCCGGATAAAACTCCTCTTGAACTATCCATGTCATGGCCCTAAGGGCAAAAAGTTGGAAGTCATCGAGCAGTACTTAACCATAATTGATGATGATTATACACATCTGGTTTGTGGGAGATATATTCAATAATATCACACCATTCGGTCCAATATTCGGTTACGAGTCTCAACCTCCTTGTGTATATCACCTGACAGCTGTTGATGCAAAGAATAGTTAGGACACATATAGGAAATTGTCCATACAAGAGATGGGCAAATAAAGGATTCTCTTTTTTCATTAATAGCAGTTTTAACTTGTTTCAAGATGTCTTGAACAAGGGAGGTTGCAAACTAACAATTTTGGTCATCAAAGCGTAAGTATATATAAAATTTGAATTATGTTAGACTTCTGTCAATTTCTTCGGGGTTATAAATTTGAAAAAAAAAATTCTCCATAAAAAAAATGCACGATTGGGGTGTTATAAGAGGATACACATAAAGCCCATTAAACAAATGAAACTTCAACATATTGCAATAAAGCTGTCATTCACACTCATCCAAGTTGAGTAAATTTGCTTATAGTCGAAGGAATTACAAACGTTTGGAAGAGTCTTTAATAGGCATTCTCCATCAATCAATTTAACAATTCAACTGTTCTTTTGTTCTTTAATCTTTCCTCATGATCAAACACTTAATGTGATCCTTAATATGATCTAACATGATTCCTAAACCACCAGTTACAGCAACCCATTCAACTCTGTCATTAGTCTCTAACAAAACACAAAACTGACATATGAAAAACTATATACTTGTTAATCCGGGAAAAAAAATGTACTAACCAGTCAAATATAGCCAACATTCGACTATAAACTCCTGCAAATTCGAACTTACTCTTTTCAGTAGATTAACTCGATCTTGCAATCCATCAACTGCCCTATCATTCTCTTGCCCATCAATTTCATGAGAGGAATACAAAGATGAAGCCCTTATACCACTTTCCTCTATACCATCAAACAGAGCAGCCCTAGCATTATGGTCCCCGAATTCAGGATCATTGTGAGTGGTATGACAGGTAGAGACTAAGAGACAGTAATGAATTTGATGGAATAAAAGTAAATTCTGATAGAAAACAAATATTAATTTTAAAAATAATTACTAAAAAATCTTATGCACTCTGACCCTCAGTCAATTACTGAAGTTCAATGCTCCGGGGCATTTGCATGTTGGGTGACTACCCGTTTATGCACTCTTCCTTCTTAAGATCAAGATGCCGATGTTAGAGGCACCATATGTCATATCATAAGGTTCAATTTTAGATTTCGAAATTCTGATGGAACATACTCTTGTCAATTTTTCCCCATTTCGAAAACAAGTGAAAATTCATTCTTCATGGTAGTCCTTTTTTAAATTACTTTGGTGGAGTGTAAGTAAAAGAGTCACTATAGATTACTCTATGATTGGGGGTATGATGGGATCAGATTAGGATAAGATATTTAATCTACAGCCAAAAGCAAGTATAGATTTTCAAAAAAGCTACATTTGGCATGACCACATCTCAACAGCATAGCAGACATTTTAGGCGTCTAATGACCTACAAACCAAAATCTGGGGTTCTAACCTTTTCTTTTCTTTATTTCATTTCTATTTACTTATTGTGGGATTTAGCATTATAACCATAGTCATAATTATTGATTTTCTTTGTAATCACACTTATACTTTTTACAGCTTATAGAAGCAATCAATTACAGTTATACTTTATACAGCTTATAGAAGCAATCAATTACAGACGAATATAATTAATCAACATTACTAGCAATATTTCTCCAACCTCAATTCATAAATTATAGGAACTTCTAGTTCTTGTACAATAAAGTGAGTCAAAGGTTATGGCCTAATTGGCGCAGAATAAAAACAAAAAGAAAATATTGCAAAAAGACCTCCTAGAATTCATGGATATTGCAGATATCCGTAGAATGCTCTCGGATTATAGAAAATATCGCGGCGATTCACTAGTTGTAATTCTGCATATACAAATACAAAAATAATTAGAATCCACGATAATCAATAACAAATTGCTCCAATATAAATTAAAAATTTCAAATTCTAGGGGCTTTACAATCAATAAAAAAGTTAAGCATTCGATAGTGATTATTCAGGGACGAATAAAGGGAGTTGCTGTAACTCTAATAGAAAGTTTTCAGATCTAATGAAATAGAGAGAGAGCGTTACGCGTGCCGACAGAGGGAAGAAGCAGAAGTGCAGGACTGAAAGACGAGTCCGTATGTATATTTTGCCTTTTCTCTCGTTTTTTTTTTTTTTTTTTTTTTTTTTTTCTTTTTTTTTTTTTTTTTTTTTTTTTTTTTTTTTTTTTTTTTTTAACGAGGTATCCCAACTTACTCCAGACTATATATTATCGTCCCTGAACTTCCGGCCCCTCAGCAGCTCAGGAAGGTAAATCGCGGAATGTGCCCAAGTTGACCAGGGTTCGAACAGACTTTATACTCCTGGCCCCAAGAGAGCCTCCTCCATGATTATTACATCACGAAACTGCTTCAACCCTTCCTCTAGTTATTACAACACTCAGCTGCTCCAACGAGGAATCGAACTCCCCACGCTGGGGTTGCGAGCCCCGCACTGTCCTTCCTTTGCCAACTTGGATGTGCCCCGAGGGGCCCTTTTCTCTTGTTCTTTGTACTGTATTAATTTTCAACTCTCATTCTTTGTAATATATACATTTTAAATCACATTCTTCGTTAAAATAATATTATAACGTAAACAAAAAATATTTTCTTTTTTTTTTTTACCATACTCAATATCAATCACTATTCCATAATACATTCTTCCTAAATAATGGGGGACAAAGACACCCTCTATATACGTATACAAATTTTTATGAAATTTTGAATATTTAGTCCTTTATTTTAACGCCTTATGCGAACACATCCCCTTACATTTTAATCTCAACCTTTACTGATTTTGCAAAATATACAGTCCACATTTTACTCAAAATTTATTTTTTTCAAATATCATTTTCAAACATATATTCTCCCGTAAAATAATTTTACGCGTAAGCTAAAAAAATATTCCTCTTTTTTAACCACGCATACTATCAAAAATTATTATTCCAAAACGCATTTCCTTCGAATATGGGTTTCAAACAGGAGTATAGAGTACTGTTTTGAGGAGAAAATGGATAAAACTCCCATAGTATTAATAATTAAAATGAAAGGAGGAAAGAAAAAGGAAAAAAGTAATGCATAGAAAGAAAAAATGGGTCATCCTTCTTCAATAGGGTATGACAAAACTCCCGAATCAAACTGACTGAACCAAATCGAATTGAACAATTCTTCTTAAGTTAAATATCCGAATGAGTATTTAAATCAAGAATCGATGAGTTCGATTCGATTCTCAATTCTAGATCAAGAACTAAAGAACTGGATAAGATCCGAATCTCCCTGATTTTTTAATTAATTCATTTTAAATAAGTCAAATAATTTTATTTTTTCTAAATAAATTTACTAACTAGTTAATTTAGCTCAAACTCAAAAATATGATTTTCCTATTTCTAATTTTCAGTTCAAAGCCAACTTAATTAAATTGACCTAAGTTTTATCCAAATCTGTTACTTTATCGTAGTGTCATTTCTGTCATTTCTCTCTCTTAATTATTGTGAACTCACCATCTTCCTTTTCTTGTGATTTTAGCAATCAAATCTATGAAAAACTCAGCAAAGAAATATACAAAAGACACATAAGATTGAACTATATTATTTTGTAAGAATTACGATTGAACATATCACTAGTTGAATTAATGTAACTTTGTAAATATTAAAAAATTTAATTATAATACAGAAACCGGGAACTGAATCGAACCGAATTCGAACGATTCCATAATTAAATTTGGACTCGACGGTATCAATTATTAAATACCCGAAAAATTTGGACCCATTTAATTTTCGTTAGAATCGAATCGAATTGGATCATGCCCAACCCTATTCTTAAACAATCCACTCTTCAACCCCTCCCAACATCAATGTTGGACAATAATGCGAACTTGAGCATTTTTATAAGTATGACTTTGACAAGTAAAAATATGATTGTTGTTCAATGAGACAATTGTGGAAGTTCATTAGCATCTTTATTGTTCACATAGAAAACTTGCTAAAATTTTGTGATCAAGTACTAATTTAATGAACGAACAATTCAACCCTTGAAACATATTATAGTTCTAGGTGACGAATAGTCAACATTGAGGTGCCAAACCTTTTTGTTGATATGAGTTCTTAGACTGTATCATCATGTTATTTTGAAGATAACTTTTATCCGTTGAGTGCAATCATTCCACTCGGCTCCTCCAAAGGTATTGATGATAATATCGATTAGTTTAAAAAATAAAAGTGGAGGGACTAGAATGAAACTTTGCTCCAAGTTGGGTGACCTCCAGTATTTTATATTCTTAAGCAACCCAAGAAAACTTGGAGAGTGGAGAACAATTCTCGTCAAAGTTACGTCAACGGCCATATACCAGAATACGGATATAAGCTCAAAAAGTTGTAGGGAGCTAGGGCTTTGGCAATCGATTTCCGGTTCCGACTACATTTCAGCTCCTAATGGATTGCTCTGATACCGGATATTCGTTCCAAGTTTCAGACGACACCGAGAAATTCCTTTGTGACCAACTTTTGGATCAAAACCAACCGATTTCGGAGCGATTCAGAGCCCTCTTCTCTCTTCGCAACCTCCGTGGGCCTGCTCCTCGCAATGCCCTTGTCCAAGGTACCATATTTATGCGTGTGTTTATATTTTATTAGTTATTTTTACATCGACATTTGTTTTGTCTATATATGTTATGTTAATTTGGGATAAATGTAAATTTCACCTTGAATTGAATTAGTTTGATTTCCTGTAGGAAGATACTAGCATGGAAAAACTCGAACATTTTGTGCACTCTCTGCTTTAGTTTTATTATCCCTTTCCTTTACTCTTGCCAGGCAAGTTTTGCATATAGCTGCAGTGAACTATAGTTAGTTTTATTTACGTTGATTAGCAGAAGTCAGTGTATTGTTAAAATTTCTATTTTGACTTGAGTTAGTAAAATCATATATTGTATTTTATTTGAAGTTGTACTGGTAAATCTGCTATATGATTGTAGATTATCATCTCTCTCCTTCCCCCTAGTTCTTTTTTTCTTTTTGACTCTATGAGAAAAGGTTCATCAACATCTAATATGACATGAAACTTTCAGTAAATTCCCAGACAAGAAGGTCCGTCCATGAATGGACTTCCATTCTAGAAGTTGGTCAGAAACTACTACCAAAAAGTATTGTTTGGAGTAAAGAGCTTCATATGTATCTGTGGTTGTCTTGGAGGCTCATTATGAAATTGACACAGAAAATATATTGTTGAAAATTGGCTGAGGCACTCATTTTGTTCTCCTTTTTTATTCTAGAAAAATCACTTCGGCTGAACTTTACTAATTTTTATTTGTCCTTGCAAAATGATACTGTCAATAAAACAACTAGATTTATCTTAGTGCAAGAGTTTGATAATCTGTAAGCCGACACCATCATAGTTCTGCTTATTTGAGCAGAACATCTGAATTGATTTCGGAGCTTTTGAACCAGGCCATGGGAGGTTGTATCGACTGTCATACTTTATGTGCTGATGGCATAGCTTCATTATCTTTCACTCGTAACTTGTTGGCAGGATTTCCATTGCTACTTTCAGTACAGTGTTCTTTTGATAAATATTTATCACACTGATGTTAGTATATATGGGACTTCTCCCGTTTCAGCAACAAGGGACGCGTCAAACCTGCTAGCACATGAAGCTGCATTTGCATTGGGTCAGATGCAAGATGCTGATGCTATCCCTGCTTTGAAAGCTGTTCTAAATGATCTTTCATTGCATCCCATTGTTCGCCACGAGGTATAATTCTTTTGAATTTGGATGAATTGTATTTCGCCATCACCTTGTTGATAGCTTAAAGCATTTCGTCTATTTGTGTGCACTCGCATATTCATAGGCTGCAGAAGCTCTTGGCGCAATTGGTTTAGAAAGTGTTGTTGGCCTTTTGAAGTATAGTTTGGCTTCAGATCCAGCTCAAGAAGTGCGGGAAACATGTGAACTTGCTTTGAGTCGAATTAAGGAGCTGAAGAACACATCGCCCTCAAAATCATCACCTTTCTTGTCAGTCGACCCAGCCACACCTGCTTCTTGTTCTTCTGCACAGGAATTGAGGTGTGCAATTCTAAATTTAGATTGATAACATGCCCATCTATTTATTTTTTTTTATTGGTGTGTTTTTTTATATATATATATATATATATATATATATATATATATATATATATATATGTTCAGAGGAGTTCTATTGAATGAAAGCAATAGCATGTATGAACGGTATGCTGCACTTTTTGCTCTTCGAAACCTTGGAGGAGAGGAAGCTATCTCTGCCATTATTGAGTCCCTAGGTGCAAATAGTGCTCTTCTACGGCATGAGGTCTGTTTTCCTTTTTCTGCTTATCTTTGGGGACATATGGTTTTATGTATTTAGTTTTCTGTTATATTGTAGGCCTTGTCTCGGTGAAATATAGAAAATGGGGCATCTTATATATTTTGGTACAGATTCTTCAAAACTCACCTCCAATCATACATTTGCCAATAAATAATTTTACACATGTAACCACACTCTCTCCAAAAAAATACTTTTCACAAAAATTATTTTCAAAAAATCTACATCAAAGAGGCCCTAAATTAACTTTGAGGGCCGAGGCACTTAATCTATTCTGGCATAAGTGTAACTTACTCTTAAGTACCACTGCATTTTTTTATTGGATATGCACCTGCTTATCGTCCCACTTCTTGGTGAGAAATTGATATCTACCTGCTTCAGTATAATGTTAAGGGTAGCTTGAAGAAAGCAATTTTTTGGGAGGATGTACTTCATTGAAGATCATTAGTCTTTCCTGCCCAAGGTGTTGTGATGTCAACTGTATAGGATACACTTAGCTCCTGTTGGACAGCCATTATTTTCACTCTTTTTTCTACATAATTGTTTTCAACCACACATTCACACAATAATATATTTCACACGTAAATCCAAAACTTTTCCCTACTTTTTAACTACACATTCTCTTAAAAATCACTATTTAAAACATTGTTTTTTAGGAATAATGGTTGTCAAACAGGGGCTTAGAGAACTGCCACGGTGGTAATGATCTGGGAACATGCATATAATGAAAAATTCCTTCCACTTATTTTGATGATTGCATGAAGAATGATAATCTACTTGGTTCTGGGCATAGCTATAAGAATTTGTTTGAATAAGCATAAGAGAAGTTGTCCATAAGAATGAGTTGAATTTGTCACATCAAACCAGAAAATCTAGTGTTTGCTGAGGTATAAATTACCCCTGAATTTATACGAGTTGATTCCCTTGTATCTCCAAAGATATGAAAATTGGAGAGAAAGGATAATGAATTAGTGAGCGGTTTTTGTTGAGTTGATTACCTTTAATACCAAATAAGGAGCTGACCCTACGTACGAAAGCAAAAGCGCACATATCAAATAAGGAGCTGACCCTACATACGAAAGCAAAAACACACACGGGGAAAGTAGTAAAATAGTTAGATGATCCAGACCAATAATTTTTTTTTCATAATTTTGAGCAGCGTACTCTGGTTATTACTTGAAGAACTGATTATGTAATATTGATCTATAATTTTTTATTGATTCGGTCTCCAGGTTGCCTATGTATTGGGCCAGTTGCAGAACAAAAAAGCTTCAGATGCTCTATCCCAGATTCTTAGGGATGGTAGTGAACATGCAATGGTTAGACATGAAGCTGCTGAAGCTCTTGGTTCAATTGCAGGTTTGGCCTCTGCTTATATTTTTGACATATTCTTCTGGCTATTATTACCCATAATGGTGTTTAAAGTTAGTTTGATTATGATAAGAAAGTATAATAACTGTACGTATTATACATGTGAAGAAAAGTAGATGAGCAACTATTAATGCAGCAGCAGTATATGACATTAATAGAACTGTAAACACATTTTTTGCTTGATTTTTCCTGCTTGAGGTTTGTTGACCCTGGTGCCGTTCAAGGACCATGCGATATCCATCAGAGTTAAAAGTTGATCATGGCAATTGCATAAAAGTGAAAATAACTGTTGAATGTGTTTCTGCGAGCATAATGAAGAGGCCGGGGGAAAATAACTTTTTTTTTTTCTTTTTTTTTTTTGGGGGGGGGGGGGGGGTGTGGGGGTGTTTGTAATATGCCATAGTTCTATATTATATGGGATACAAGTCTCTGAGTTTTTATGTTCTTGATTGAATTAATTATCATCAGTGAAAAATTGCATCAAATTGATAAAGACATTTAATAGGGATGTGGGATTTATATCATTTTAGTTGTAAGTAATAAAGAGCTGTCAAAAGTATAGATTCTTTGCTAAGTGCTAACGTGATAATGAATTTATAATTGACGACCCATCTCCTGACAAATTCTGTGATTTGTATATTACATTTCTTTCTAAGAATGTGATAGCTCTCGTGTTATGAATTATTCACAGTGGACGTAAAATATACAGTGTCTTGAAAGAGATGCATGAGCACATATAGAAACTGTTTAGAAGACCCATCTTAGATGACCTGTTGATGGTTTGCTAGAGTTTTGGGCTCTGCTTTAAATATATACTCATTATTTTTACGCGAGTTTTCCCCCTAAATACTAAAATAAAATGTCTTTTCTATAAATTCTTCAAAATATAAAATCTATCATCTTGTTTCTTGCATGATATTCTTTACCTGTGCATGTTTTACTTGAATTACACGCCCCGCCAGTCCTCAATGGTTACTTGTATCTTGAATTTGTACAAGGTGTGTACCTGTCACCATGCTGTTGCTTCTGAGATTTTCATGGATGTACATTGATACAAAACACAAACTGATTTTAACTGTACATGTTTTACTTCTCTGCAATATAATTTTTTCCGTTTTATTTGGCCCTATGCTTGTTTCCTGCATCATCTGCATTTTGCAGATGATGAATGTATCACACTGCTTGAGGAATTTGCTAAGGATCCAGAGCCTATTGTCGGACAGAGCTGTGAAGTTGCTCTCAGTATGCTTGATTTCGAGAGATCAGGAAAATCATTTGAGGTAAATTTAGAAGCAGAAATTTTAAATTTGTGAATAATTATTTCTGGAATGGTAGCTATATCTCTGCTATTATGCAGTACCTCTTCATGCAGGTGCCTCAAATGCAGCAAGCGCCGTAAGAGGTCGATTTTTCCCTTTTTTCTTCTTCTTCTTTCAGAGAGGACATCAATACTCATTAGTGTTTACTAATTCAAATCCACGCGATATGCTTCTTTAAATTGAGGTTCCCAAACGAACCGACACTTGCTACTATTTATAATAAGTTAGTGAAGTTTTAGAACCAATTAGCACTGGAGAACCATCGAGTTCTTTTATGAATATTGTGATTGCTTAGTACTTCTGTCGCTATTTAACTGACATGTGACATGTTCATATCGTAATCAATGTCTTCATATATATGCAATCTAACATACCAAGGAAACTTTATTGTTTAATAGATAGTGCAAAGACGATTGCTACCATTGTTGTGAATGCGCACACACAGTCGAGATTAGAATATTGTACCAAATTGGTTAGGATATATTGTCAAATAATTAGTAAGTTTACCTAATATAAGTACTCTATCTGATTATTTAATAAGAGATTGTACTCAAACAGATAGACCAAATGTACCCTCGATTGGGTGCACCCAGCCACTTGATTAAGCAAACTCCACTATTGTCCAAGTTTTGCAATTAATGTTTAGTTAAAATATATTAATTAGTTGAAGTGTCACTGAAAACTTACACATGAATTTGTTGCGTTTTTGTTTGACAAATTCATAGGCACGAATTTAAATAATTAGTAATTTTAAAATAAGATGAATTTATACAATTTTTATAACTGTTTTAAAATTGTTTGTTGCACTTTAAAGTGTAGCAGCAAGTAAAACCTTTTCAAACCTCATTTCGGCGTTAAACAAATTGAAAAAATAAAAAGATCGTTAAAAAAGTGGCGTCTTTTGTTCATCCCCTTACAGAAAAATCATTTCATTAAATTGAATTGGGAAGTTAATTATTTCTTTGGATTAATTTTATGTTTGAATGAGCTTTAGTTGAATTCAATTGAAAATGATATGTGGCTAAGGGTTGGTCAAAAAAGAGAAGACAAACAAAGAAAGGAAACTTTAGGATGAAAAGAACATTTAATAATAATATTTTATAATCTAAATGTGATTCCATTTTATAAAAATAAAAATAAATTAAGAACTCATGTAAGACATCAAACAATTAGTTTATTTCGATAGTATTATAAGTAATATTGCTGAAATAAGTTAGCTTCTTTTACAAAGGAAGCAACATCATATGTGATGAAAGCAAATTTAGTTACATACTTCAAATGTGATATAATACGAAATTATTGTCAAATTAATGTTGTAAGAACAATGTTACACGTGCCAATTTTTTTTTTTACCAAATCTTTTACCTACTACTCACAACAAGGGTGCGGATTACATGTCGGTATTTTAAAATTCACACGGGGCTAGCATGCATTTGTAAGAGGGGGACACCATTCGGTACATATGGAATAATTCATGTCATAATTAGCATGCTTGGATGTGCTTAAGAAACGATACAATCTACTTATAAGTCTCCTTTCTTTGTTATATTTTGTCCATATTAGCGAACGTCCTAACTACTTGATTTTAATGTATTTACTGGTCTTGATATTGAGATGTTGATGTATTTCCTTTTTATTGAGGAAAAGATTTCTGATAAATCAAACTGAAAAATGTTAAATTTCTACCCTTGTGAATTATATACCTATTTCCACGTGGCACTTTGACCCGACATGAACAACCACATCAATGTTGAAAAGTAAAACTAGACTAACATAACATATTGAGGGCAAAGTCGAGTTTAAATCTCAGATGAAATAACGGAAAAAATTAGAATAATGATATTTGCAGTAACTCACTATTGTAGTCGTCCTACATGTCATACATGTGACGGTTAATGATTTAAAATATGAGACAGTAAAAAATTACCACATTAATATATTAAATCACAAACCGTCATGTAGGATGTCACGTACGGCAACTACCGCAATGAGCGACTATGAATAGCATTACTCAAAAAATTATATACTTCAAAGTTAAACTTCCTAAGCTCTTGTTTTGCAAAGCCATTTTTCAGATTTTAAGTTAGTCAAATTTTATTTTTAACGACATATTTCATTGAACCCACAATATTTATCCACTTTTAACCACACATTTCATAAAAATCATCCGTTTATAATCTCAAAAAACTTTGTCAAACAAGAACTTAATTGGTCTAGCAAAGCCAAATGAACATCATAATCAATCAAAAGGATTAAGAAAAGAATTCGAAAAAAAAAAAAAAAGTAGTGGCAAAGAACATTATAAACAACATATATTTATATTTCCAAAGGGCACTGAAAAATGAAGGTAGTTAGCCTCAAAGATTATCGACTGATATTATGTGAGAGTTCAGACTTATATACATCAACATTTTCAAATCTTTTCTTGCATGAAAGGAAAACCTTTACTATCTTACTGTAACAACTGGTCCAAAAAATTATGTAAATACTAAGTAGTCATTCGCTCTAAGTATTTATTAAATTATCATTCTACAACAAACTGATGTTTCGAGATTTTTGTGAGAATCTACAAATGTAAGTTGAATCGGCCACCACATCCTCCATTGAGACGGGGTCCAAGTTGACTCATTAGAGCGATCTGCATTTTTATTTTTATTTTTTCTGTTTGCAGATATAGAGGATTTCATGTAATCTATATATATAGAAAATGATAAAAAGCATTTGACAAATTGAACGCGACCACTACAAAGAAAAGAGCAGCGACTTCATGCCAATTTCTATAAAAGAAACACATTTTTCTGCCGTTTGAAACATATTTTTGACGAATGCATAACCAACACCGGGTGAAACCAAGTCTTCTACTAAACGTAAAGCAAACACTCATGACGGGTTTCATATGCTGTGAATATAGAAAAGAAAAGTACATGACATATTTTTTACTTATTGTATCTAGTCATTTGTAGCAAACACACTTTATTCTTGTTAACTATGTTAATAATGGAATTAGAAATCAACTGATTAATTCTGCTTCATACTTGAAAGGTTAAGATTACTGAAATCTGATGAGAAACATAACGTGCTTTTCAAATTTTCAAGAGCAGACCTCTGAAAAGTAACATGATGTTAGAAAATCGACTTCTTAGGTTAACAAAAAGGGAAGTAAAACAGAATAGATTAGGATTTTTAGTGTCTTAAATTAGGTCTATTTTTGCTAGGTCTTTTGAGAAAGCAAACTAGTGAGAGAACAGATTTATAATATAAAATTATGCTATATATATTTTTTCTACTTATAATTAGTTATCTCCAAGTACACATAATCTGAGAAATCAATCATAGGGGTGTAATACAGGCTTCTTACGGCAAGAACATTTCTAGGGTTTCCAGCTCTCACCAATGGCAGCAGAAATGCAAATACTGATCAAGCCCTAATTCCTCAAGAATGCTGGATGTATCTGAAGGTTACTGATTGAAGGTCATCTCCATCATCTTGAAAGGGCCATTCCCTGTCGTTGGATTGCAGTTCAAGTGAATCCCTGCTACCAAATGAGGTATTTTTCTCAAGGAAGGCTGAATTTTCATTATTTCCCAAAGGGTTCAGATCATTCATGGTACTGCTTTCGAAATATGGTGCCATCTCTCTAATATTAGTACTGCTCGAGTTTGCGTACAATTGGGACAGTAGTCCTTGGTTTTGAGAGGACTGGAACCAACTTTTAACATCTTGTGAAAAAGAATTGGTTCCAGAGTAGAATTTCTGATTAGGGTCAACATTTTTGGAGCTATTTAGGATGGATTGAGCTGCTTGTTCCTTGAGGGAAGCTAGCTGGACTTGAAGGTTGAAAACCTGCCAAAAAAATACAATAAAAAATAAAAAAATAAAATTTTTGTTAAAAAAAGTTGAGAACTAATAACAAGAATTAGGGTTTGAGAAATCTTTACTTATCCTCCCTGAATTTTCTTGTTTTGTACTAATTTTTTCTATGAATGGACGAGGTATTTGGTCAAAGCTAAAGGCCCCATCCAAGCACAGGATTCTTGATTAAAAGAAACAAGAACTAGGGTTAAATTAACAATTTAAGTTCATGAGTGCAGGGAAAAAACCTGCTGTTGGAGGGCGAAAATATGCGAAACACAACCATAAATCGGATCTTGAACCCTAGCCTGAGCTTCATACGAGATCGTGACGGCAGCCTCATACCGATCACAAACAGGAAGGTGAGAAAGCAGTTTGGACACGTTGCTGGCCCCGAAAACCTTATGGATTGCTGAAAAATGAGCTGCACCTTGTTCATGGCTGAAATAAGGGGCAAAAACACAACCTCTTACACATTTTCTTCTCAAGAATTTGCAGGCGCCACAAGGGGAACCAGAGCCTTTCATTCTTGATTAATTTGCTGGTCTTATTGAATTTTCAAAGACAATCTGTTCTTTATTGTTTAGTGCAAGTATTAATTATCACCATGTATATAAACAGAGGAGGGCAGGCAGGTGGATCATATTTTAATCTATATTTAATTATGTAAGGTTCCCTTGTTGGGCAACACATTTCACTATTTTTCCTAAAAACTGTCTGTCCTAAATTTTATTCTCTGATTTGAGATTCCATTTAGTATTCTTAAAGGACAAAAGAGCTAACAATTAGAACCAAACCCTTTCGGTTTGCAGGATGATTGAATTTTACTTTGTTCATCTACCAATTGTAAGAACTTTTACTTAATTAATCTCCTTTGTCAGATTGTTAGGGCTGACTTTCTGGGACGTTCATGTAAAATTAAGTTTGGATTTCTACCAGAAGATAGTAAGTATTTTTGAAGCTCAATTTTCACATATTTTACCGTGTAACTGAGTGTTTTGGTTCTGTTAATGGCCATTAGGCCTCAGGTCTTTTCATCTATAGACATCATTTTCTTTATTTGTCTTAATCCTAAACAATTAAGAACACAAGCAGTACGGAATTAACATTGATTGCCATCTGAATAAGACTAGACTAATTCTAAAGGAATATCAATCAAGAAATGAACATTTGACTCGTGTACTATGATAGCGCATTAAACAGATAGTAGGAAACGGCCTTATGTGCCCCTCTCCGTATTTTGTACAGGTAGGGGTCTAAAAACTCTTTACTAAACGAGAGGGTTTTGTTAAGATAAAGAAGTAGGAATGGCGTACAAGGTACGTATTTGATAGAGTAAATATGAATCAATTTCATTTGATTCTATTAGAATTGTCTCCTTTTGTTGGAATCTTGATTTGACTCAGTGTGTTTCCATTTACATTTTACAGAAATTGATATTAATGTTTTGGGACATACTTTTCTTGCAAATTTTTCTTTAACTATTTTTGAACGGTAATTGTAATGAGGTATTTTTCTTTTTCTTTTTTTTTTTAATTTTTTGTCGATTGCAAAGACTTTCTACTCGATTTGGCTTATAGATCAGAATTTAATTCACATTTATATATGTTGTCAAAACATCTACTCGATCAAGTCAAATTGACTAGAACTCTTTGCATGCACATTTTATTTTGATATATGCTACATGTACAAATTCATTTTGTCAAAATGGTGCCAAATTTATACTTAACAGTATTTCATTGGCACTTGTGTCAAAAAAAATTTCAACCATCTGATCACAAATTGTCAAGTATGAATCTAGCACCATCTGACAAAATAAATTAATTTGTACAAGCAGCATAAACCTTTTATTTTTATTCTCCATCTTGTCATTCTTGTCCACTAACATAAATGCAGAAAAAAGGCAAATCAATCAGCCCTCATTACTCGTTAATATAGGTTATTAGCATATATGGTTATAGGTTTCTATTTATTTACTTGTGAATTTATCATTTCTATGTCTTTTTAGTGAACACAAACACCAATGCATACAATGATTCATGAATTAATTAGCTTCATTTACCTAATCTATAAATAATTTATAATATTTAAACTTCAGTTTCAACCATATATTTCAATGGAGACACAAGTATTATCAACTTTTTCCATTTATTTATAATATAGACTATTTGTAAATTCTTCCCATACGGAGATTTGGTAATAAGGCAAGCTCTTTATCCTAGAATTTTTGGATTTTAACGAAAGCATTTCAGTGATTCATGGTACTCAAGGTAAATTGTGCTTGCTCATCTTAGCATAATTTAAGTATCGAGACTTCGAGTATCTCCAAGAGACTTTCAGCATATTTTACAATTTAAAAAAATCTATAAATTTAGAGTAAAATTTTTTAAATACTCTAATAATCTTTTTTCTCTTTATCACTTAATTTTGCTACTCTCAATTAATATTAATTTTTTCTCTATCTTTTGTTTTCACCAATTTCTCTCCAAATATTACTTCCCTCCATTTTCTTTGTATACTATTTAATTGGTTCAATATATGGAACATTGAAAATTGAAATATTTGGATAGCCAAACCCACTCTCTATTTTAAAATGTTAATTTGAAGAATATCTTGACACATAATTTTAAGTATTGATACTCTAAAATAGATAGAATTTCACTGTCAAAGGGTCTCTTAAAGATGCTCTTAGTAAATAATTTATAAATGAAGAACTTGCCCAATTAATTAGAATTCACTATATAACTTATGAGAAAATTTCATCATTTGTCGCCTAGTCAATTGCTCTAACATTTTATTATATATAGTGAGAGAACCACTAAAAAAAAAAAAGAAAAAGAAAAAAAATGCCTTCAGACATGAATTTTTCGTTCCTAAAATCACGATATTCGTTGCTATTATTCTTTACCAATGAAATATTAGCAATCACAAATCCATTTTTAATTTGAAGATCGCTGATGATTACCAACGGATCGCGCCGTAGGTAAAGAGTAAATTTGTTACCAATGATTTTTCCATCGATAAAGTATAACTTTTTACCAATGAAAACTTCATTGGTAAAAATCTTAATCATTACCAACGGAAAGCCCATTGGTAAATGTCTATCGTTACAATTGATAAAAAAATAGTGTTGTAAATAGCTGCATAGGTGTAAGGTCTAGCAAAATATAAAATTTTTATTCATTTTTTATTATTGTTATTATTATTTATTTAATAATTATAAATTTTTAACTTTTAGCCAATTGATTTGAAAGGTCTAAAAATTTGTTTAACCACTTATTGGACCACAAATTTATAGAAGGTGATTTCAAAAAGTTTGTTGTGAACTTTCAATGTGGAATAAGAATTTCTTTGATTGGGTTCTAGTGTATTGTACCTTTAGTTTGGCAACAACGTATTGTGCTATTGTATAAATAATTATTTATATTTTATTACCCTTCAACTATGTATATTTAGTAGGTGAATGGTTGAATTTTTTAATTATTGAAATTAATTAATATCATCAATGGATTTTTCATAGCAATATGAATTACCTTCACCTATAGAATTTCCGTTGGTGCAGAAGTTGATTAATTTTAAAAAAAAAAAATTAATTACCCTTCACTACAGATATTTCGTAGGAGAATGTTTGAATTTTTTAATTATTAAAATTGATTAATGTTAGCAACGACAATTCTATTGGTAATATGAACTACTCTTCACCCACGAAAAAATCGTAGGTGAAAGGGTGATCTAGTCTTTAGAAGAAAAAAGTTGAATTACATCACCTTCAAAAATGTTGCTGGTAAATGAAAAGTATATTAAACAACAACAATAGGCACATAATATCCGTTGGTGAAAAGCTATTGCTTTTATCAACGAAAATTTCTTTTGTGATTTGCGTAGTTAAAAGATTAATATTTTTACCAACAGATAATCTATTTCTAATTACCAACTGATACAATATGTTGGTAAGTATCCGTAGGTAAAAAATGAATTTTAGTAGTGAATAATGGTCTTGTGATCATTTTATGTTCAATTTTATGAACTTAAGTGTGTTCAAACTTAGATGGGACTTTAAAATTTGAAGTGAGGCATATTTGCACAAGAATTTCATAATCAGTAAACTAAGATTTTGACGGTGTAATTAGATATAAGAATTAAAAATTTTCAGATATTAATTAGAACTACTTTTGGATGAAATTAAATTAAAATTAAATAATTAAAACATGAAGCTAAAAAGGAACATGTTCAAAGATAGAATCAAACAGAAGGCATTGACACTAGTATATATAGAACCACCTGAGTAGGGAAAGCACACACAGACACACACGTGTGTCTATGTGTGTCTGGTGTGTGTGTGTATATATATATATATATATAGACACAAGAGAGAGAGAGAGAGAGAGAAAGGGTTTTCACTTTTGCTAGTTGATTTGATTTGTTTAAGTGTTGGAGGTCACAGCTTGTCGAGCAATAAAAGAAGAAAAATGATTAAGTAATCCATAGATTAGTAATTACTTGGTTGTGTGACAAATAGGTAGAACCCACTTACAAACCCTAATAATGACACTGCAACTCAATCTTCCCCTTGAGACCTTTGCACTTCTGCCTTATACATTAAAATATTATTAATAGAAGTTTATGAAAACCTAATTTATTCTCTCCTCTCATGGGTCATATCACGAAAAATAATTTGTATGTTTTCTTAAATTTCCAAATAAACTATAAATCATACATAAATGAGATCATTTTATCTATGACATATTAAGTTTTTTGACGGAATAGTACGTTCAAGTCATCGCTACTCTTACATATAAGGCAACATAGTGAATATAAAATATAAATGAGCAATACAATCCTCTCGACGACAGCTTAAGCTTTAATTAGGGTAAGTTCTTCACCATTTTTGAAGTCATGAAATTAATTAATTAAAAAAAAAAATTTCAAACAATTATTTTGAGCGTTCCTACACTCATACAAATTGAAATGCAGCCTAAACTTTAATTTTAAAATTCAAGAAGTACAACACAGTAAGACGTTCGTGTGCATGGAATCTCCCTTCTGGCAGCCATTATTGGTCTTAATTTGTGAATTAATGGGTGAATGGATTTGTCATGTGTACTTGTTGGCCATGATCTTGAAGACAACAAGGCATGTTAACTAAATGGGATCTTTAAAATAATCAACTTTAGCCAATAATTTACAACTTTTTATAAGGGGCATAGGCATATGGACTTATCTATTTAATCTCCTGTTCAAACTTTTAAATACAGCTTAAAATTTTTAATAATCCCACTTTGTATAACTCTTTGTTGCCTAGCTCCCAAAGCCACTTTTGATTTAGAATTTGTCTTCTTCTTCAAATTTTTATTTTTTTTTGGAATAAAAACTTCACACCGATAGGATAGGTTCTTTCTTACCAACCGTTTGTTAATCATGCATGCAGCTTTTGGGGGTGTTTTCATGTTTATTATTTGTCAAAACTATAAGACAAATTATAAATATACTAGTGTCTCGTAAATGACTATCATACTCTATTATTTTCTTTTGAAAATTATAGAAACTTCTCTTATTGATAATTATAAATAATAGATTGTCCTTCCATGCTTCAAGGTAAAATATATTACTTTTTTTTTTTCTTTTGGGAGGGTGAAGATTCTTTTTACTATTGACGAAACAGTAGTTTTTATCTTTAAGTCCAAACTTGTGTATGCTGAAATTCAAAAATAGATACAGGAAAAAAAAATTGTTTATTTAATATGCAAAAAAAAAAAAAAATGATATAAATGAAGGTAGGCAGGCCTTTACAATGCAGTACAAAAGAGTAACATGTATATTAGCAACGGACGTATTCCTAAACAAAATTAAATTAGAAGAGATGAGATGATATTAAAATTTTAAAATATTTGTACATTAATTACGATTAGTTACAAAAGTTTTTGTACTATTTGTCTAATTCTTTTCAAAAACTCTCATATTTCAATGTGTATCTTCTGTAAAATCATCGTGAAAATTATTACAAGTATTAGAATAGATCTAGTAATAATTGAAAAAAATATATATATAATAATAATAATAATAATGTTATTTGCAATCGCTCACTACTACAGTTGTTCTGCGTGGCATACATGTGGTTGTTGGTGATTTGACGTATAAGTTAATTAAAAATTACAACATTAATGCATCAAATTATTAACCACACATGTATACCACGTAGAATGACTGTGACAGTAAACGACTGTAAATAGAATTACTTAAAAAAAAGTCATTTATTCAAATCAAAATTTATTGAAAAAGAACTTATCATTAATTGTTGGACCATGTTTTAGGCAAAGGGGTATTTTCCTGATTATGTAACCTATTAAGATTTATACATTATAAATTAATAATCTACAATAACTAAAAATGGAAGAATTTTGTAGATTATTTCATTTTATTTACAATTATAATTAATAGTTAATATTTTTTTACGAAAATTTGTTTATGATAACAATATTTGAAGAAATTCTAGAATTTGTTCGCGACAGAAAAGCGCACTTTTATTTTAGTAGAAAAATTAATAATTAATATATCAAATGGTAGAATGGAATATTCCTCTTCCGAAAGAATATGTAAGGAAACCATTAACAACCAAAAAAAAATAAAATGTTAAAACAACTTTTAAAAAATAACTGCTGTCTATTCCTTTGTTTGAAGAAAATTATTTCGAATGGCACTTAAAATATACTTTAATTTGTTATCATATTAATTAGATTGTTCCAACCAAACAATTAATAATCAGCGAGCAGGACAAGCCCAAATATTTATTAATCAAACTCATAAATACTAGGGTTTTGAATAATTAAAGAAAGGACATGTTCGGTTGAAATGAATAAAGATAGTGTTAGTGAATGATGCAGACATGTGACTGGTCAAACAGACATGGAGTTTGTTCGTGGGGCCATTGCACGTGTGTAGATGATTACCATTGTATCTGGCAAGAAATTCATTTCTTTATCCAAAATTATGTTCTTCTCAATCTTCAGGCTGTTATAATATGCAAAACTCGAATTTTCTTTTGTTTTTTATGGGCAAAACCCTGAAATTTTGGCTGCATTTGTATATAAATTTACAATAATCCACCACATACGAAGCTTTTTATCCAACATTGCACGGCACATAAATTAAAATGTTGATTGGATTGAATAAGAGTGGAGTGGGTAAGGGGTGGAGGTAGAGGTAGAGGTCGAGAAAATTAGTTTTTCTCTTTATTTATATCTAGACCGTTGGATCAATTCAAGTGAAGAGTCGTTATCATTTGTCAAATAACTCCGTAGAAGGAATGTTTCCACAAAATAATAACTTCTGTGGGAAAGTTATATAGCGTTTCTTATTACTTGATTGCACATATCGACGCAGTTCATCACTTGAACATGAAGGTGAGTTTATCTCATAAGGAGCTTACAAAGTAAAACCAAATTAATAGTGCTTGAAAATATGATCTGATTCTGAATGATAAAAGGCTTGACTACACATCTCCTATTAACTGTAATTTTTTGGATATTTGATCGTGTCATCATTTATATGTTATGTACAATTTTAAATTATCTATGGCTACATAATTTCAAGAACTTGCAAATTTTTTGTATCATCGCAGTGATGAAGAAATTGCCATTTGATGATTGAGAAACAAAGTATTGAGCCTTTCATTATCAATAGAATACAGTTAGAATTTTCTAAATTTCAACAAAATATTCAAACTAAGTTAAGATGTAGTTTGAAAACGAGGCAATTGTTCAAAGTCCAAACCATAAAATAGGGATTGATATGAAATAAACCTAGGGGAAATAAAGATGTCATTTCAAGAGATGTAATAAAGGATAGTGAGAGAGATGTTTTTGTTTGTGTTCATTAAGAGACTTGGACTTAGAATTTCAAAGCTCAGTAATCTAGTGTGTTATTTTGTCTCGACTAGGTAGCATGTGGTTTTGCTTGTTATCTATAAAAACATCGACTAAAACTTGTTTATATATAGATATATGAATTCATGTTCATAAAAGATAAGACCATCAACATCCTCTAAAGGCACAAAATTCATTTGATTCCAGTGATCTTCTTAGTCACAATTATTAAAATAAATGTACCACATATTTATATCCATGTGAACTTCAACTAAAACTTAACGATCAAAGAATACTTAGTACATGTTTGGTTCTGATAATATTCATTTTTGCAGTAAATCTTGATAAAAGTTGGTGGAACGTGTGGTTTAAAAGTTAATAAAAGCATAAAATGTTTAATTGAAAATGAGTTTTAAAAATAAAAGGCCAAACAACTGAAACAAGGTTTAATCTGATGTCTAACCATACACCAAATTGGTACAATGAGCTGTAACACTGTTCAATTCATGTAATTTATAAAGTTTTTTGTAATTTCTATTTTACCCTTCATTTTATATTACAACGAATTTTGATTCTTAATATATCCTTTTGTAGCCAACGTTTGGGCTTCATTTTTCCAAAAATATATTTTTTCAAAATTTATTTTCAACCACATTTTTTCATAAAATAATATTACACATAAATCAAAGAAAAATTTTCCTCATTTTTAACTACATATTATCCAAAAATCACCATTTCAAAACGCGATTTTCTCCGAAATCTCATTTTAATGGAGTTCAAAAGATCACATAATTTAATGATTTTAACTTTACTTATATCCAGTTTAATTTGATTATTTATTTTGACTTTTTTTTTAATTGTGGTATTAAGTGTAATGCATTTTTTAATTTTTTAATAAATACAATATTTTAGTTAATTAAAAAAATATTAATTTGATAATTTTAGTAGTACTATAATTTGTAATTAAATAATTCCTAAAATAAATTAATTATAGACAATTAAAAAATAAAGAAATAAAGGAAATACTATTCATTTTATATAACATTTGGTTTAATGGTTAAAAATCACTTTGTAAAAATGTTATGAAATTTGGACTAATTTGACGTGGAAATTGCATGAATATAATGCTAATGGTTGGAGATTGCTTAGTAACAACAAATTAAACATAAAGTGAGTAAAGGAATGATCAATCATTAAACTTTGGTAAAACAATCATGCTACATGTACATCGTCATTTACATTTTGCCACGAGGTAGGATAGTTTACATTTTACACAATTTTTTCACCCAATCAACACTTGCAAACACTGCCAATGTCAAGAAATGAGTGTACAAGTGGGCATTTTCCTTGGTAAAAAGAGCAATGAGCCAAAATGTTGAACCTTTCTTGCTTTTTCTAGGATGCCCTATAAATCCTAAGGCTATTACTACTTGATATAGCCAATAATTGCCTATATTAACTTTCATTAAGGTCGACATTAGTGGCTTATCAATATCATTACATTAATAATTACCCTCAAAAGCAAATAGTCACAATCACCTTAAAATTCACAAGGAAAATACCATCACATGGAGCTCAATCCCAGACTTGGCACATTTGGTTTTTTGGTACAAACAAAACCTCCGCTACTTTGCCTTCAACAGTATCCAGGGTCAGGTTTACAAGACCAGAACACGCCTGCATAAATTATGAGGAAATTAGGTTCACAATGACTTCAAATACAGAGTCGACAAAAAGCAATATTCCACTAGTTGCAAAATGCAAAATAAGGCCAATGAAAGATAGAAGCATCTATAATTGAGATAAAGAAGCAGCAGTGTTACTCATTAGATAGTAATTCCTAAAAACTAACCTGCTGTTATTCCGACAAGTCTCTTGGTCTTTGTTAAGGATTTTTTATATACGAGTTATGCGTACAAGGTCTATCTTCAATAACAATACCAACTTTCTAGCTATAAACATATGTGAACTATATTCACTTAGGTAACGGAGACATATTTTTGCACTACAGGTCCATAAATTCTGCAATCAAAAATTCCAGCATCTCATAGATTATGGAGGGAGTTTGCTTTGCCCAACTCCCTTTTTGATAATAAGGCAGAGCATTTTTGGGGGATCAATCCTTCACCGGGCCTCCCTCATCACCCACATGTAGAATTGAACAGTAAGAAAATTTAGTCTTCAAAATCAACTAAAAAGAACAGTAAGAAATTTAGTCTCAAAGATCAGTTCAATTATTGACTAAGAATACAAGTCGAGGCTCCCCATCAGCAACACCAAGTGTAGTTTCAAGGTATTATTTTTGGCACTTAATGATCACAGTAGCGCACAATTTTGTAAAAACAGTTCTATACACTTTGCCATTGCAATAATAATAATAATAATAATAATAATAATAAAGAAAACAATAAAAGAGTACAAAAGGAGCACTAATAACTGCATTGGTACAATAAAAACATAATCTCAACTGTCAGGTACAAAAATCGAGCTGTGAAGATGAATATTATAGTTGGTGTTGAGGATATAAATAAATAAAATGCTCCCCTCTCCCTATGCATGATATCAAGGATTGGTTTGGACTTGTACTTGGGCTCACCTTCACTCTGTATTTTTCTGTCAGCATCAGTCATGTCTGAAAATTATGGGTATTCAGCCCTCGATGAGAGTTCACATTTGAGAAAGGGTGGGATGCAAAAAGCATGCTTTCATCCTAAATTTATTTCAGATGCAAAGTTAAGATGAGCATTACATGTTAAGTGGGGCTAATCAGATTAACCTAATCCAACCTATTCCATGTGGTTTTGGGTTAGAAGCCATGACTTAACATTATAATCAGAGAACCCAACAACCTTGAGAGGACAAGAAACATACCAGAATGCTTATTTGCCATCTGAATTTAGCATAATCAGCAAGGTTTCATAAACATTTTGTACAGGTCAAACAACTTTGCCATGTGTTTGTTACCTATCATCACACCTCCCAGTTCCTTTTCAAAATCAATGACCATGCCAAAACCAAAGCAATATGAGGAATTTTATTAATATTTGAATCCTGAATTGTCAGCTCAAGCATTACGAAAATTCTTAATATAATTCTTACAAGAATTCATAATGGCCCACCTATATTTCCATTCAGAGAAGCTTAGCCCATGTTTGAGCCCCATTCACTACATCTAAAAAAACCTCTCTGCCCCCCCCCCCCCCCCCCCCCCCCCCAACCAAACCAAAAAACAAAAAAAAAGAAACAACAA